TGGTTTACTAAAGCAGGTTGTAAAGAAAAACCTTGCATTTATTGTTCTAAAACGGGTTATAAAGAAAACCTCGTGTTTATTATTTTTTTTTAAAAAAAAATCTGTTACAAGAAAAAAAACAGTTACGAGAAAGTTATAGATGTAATTCAAGCACATGTAAAGTTATTATTCAAACTTGTCAAAGTTCAGAAATAAAAAATTCTCGAAGTTATTGCAAAAAACATGTGTGGTCCTATTTCTTTTATCGTTAGATCACACCATTATTGAAGTTGAGACGTCTTCTTCATTAAGTGTCAAAATATAAAAGGGCCTCTTTTATAAAACTCATGTTATTTAGTCATGGGATTAACAGAAGCATTTTTCAAAGAACAAAAATGCAGACTATTCTTAAATCCTTAAAAATAAAAAGGCAAGGATAGGACATACGGAAGTGCAATGATAAATGAAAGCTTCCTAATATTTAAAACTAAAGACTAAGTATAAACTTAGTCATCGAATTGTTTATACAAAATGCCCATAACAAGAATCTGGGGACTTGTACTTCTAAAAATCAACCTTCAAGTGATAGCCAAGGGTTTGATTACAAAAACTCTCAAATGAACCCAAGAACTTTAATAATACTGTTTTCCAAATAGGTACCTGCAAAAAGAGGAATTCAAAAACAGATATAAATTTTTACTGAGAGGGAGAAGGATTGAAGAAGAGTGATCATCAGCGGGTTCAACTGGAACAACATCGCCAAACAAAAAAGCGAGTTGATTTCCAACCATGGAGTATCAATAGATGAAGTTTCAACTTGACTTGCATAAGGGGCACGATTGAGCTTTGAAGAGGGTGCATCACCTGAGGCAATTCCAGCGGTCATGGGGACTTCAACCGCAGAGATTTCAGTTAAGGGAGCTTTATTCACCGGAATTTCACCCACGGGAACATCACTCCGGTAGCTTCAGCTTCGGAAACTTCAATCGCGGGAGAAGGAAGTCCAATGGTTGTTGAGAGTTTTTCAATAGTCTTCATCACCTTAGCTAACTCTGACTCCAGATTAAAGTTTTTCTTGGCTGGCTTCAACTTAAGGCATCACGACGGGAGTTCAGAAAAGCCCAGCTTACATCAACTGCAGCCTTATCTTCAAGAAGCTCATAATCTTTTCCCAAGCCAAGCAATTTCATTTTTGAGACCTTCATTTTCATTCAGAGCTGAGTTATATAAGAGGCTTGGAGAGAGGCATGAGATTTTTCTAAGGCCTTCACCTGGTCTTCAGAAGTTCGCAGATTTATCTTGGGTCTGAGTCAAATTCTGCATCAAATCTCCAGCATAAATTTCTTTTTGACTTAAAAGAGCTCTAAGCTCTCTAATCTCTTCACTTGATTTAGATAATTGTTCTGAGAAAGAAGACTCGAGACGCTCTCTTTCTTTCTCAGCCTGGACT